CAAAAAGAGCTAGAAGCTAAGAAGATATACAACAGCCCTATAAAAACCATATAGATATTTCAAGCTTGACAGATATATTTAAAGAACTTATGTACAGTCTAATTACTGAAGGCGTAGGTGTGTGTTATTATTTATAAGTCCAGGGAAACACTCTCAGTACATAGCCTGTTGTGAAAATGGAATTTACTGGAATGGATATAATTTCAGTGGGCCAAGATTTAAAATAAAACACAGTGATGTGAAGTTAAGTCTATTCCTTAAGTCTCAGAATAAAAATCTGTTTAGTTACAGGAAATGGTTTTGTAAAACCACAGAAAAATTTTTACCAACAGAGGACACTGTATTTTTCTTAAAGAACATTTAGCTGAATGCAATAAATAAACGTATACTCTTTGGGTCCATTTAGTACAAACACAAAAATGGAAAATACATACTTGTCTCAAAATGATTCTCTGACAGATGAAATATGAAACCCACAGGGAGAGAGACCATTGGAATTCACATTATTTTAATGCTTGAGCATAAATGATCTTAATAAAAACAAAACTCTCAATTCTACTAATATGAATTATAGACATGAACCCACAAACATTCTAAATAGTTAAAAACAAATTCTAATTTGCTAACAATACATATTTATAATAAAATGTAACCATAATATATGATACACAGATTCAAATGCCAAATTTGAAAAATATTAATTTAAATTCTTCTGTAAGATATTTAAGAAGCACATTTCATTCACACTGGAAAGTGATTTCATCTTACAGAGGAAATTTTCATGAAATTTGCAACATTATCTGGATTATCTAGCTCAAAAAAAAATAATCAAAACTTTTGTGCCTGCCTGAGGCAGACAGTTAAAATAAATACGCAATGAAAATCTGATGTGCATAGGATATGAAGGAAACTGAAGACTGCTTGTCTCTGCCAAAGAATCAAAACACAAAAACAAACAGTTAAATCACTGTGTGCCAAACAGTATTTGATAACCATATACAGCTCCTAAATTGCCAGATTGCAGGTCTAGAAGAACAGTAACTAAGAGGATGTTAACCAAAAATGTGATCTGAGCCAACAAGAAATGAGAATAAATCCTATCATTCAGAGAGTAACTAGAACTCAATGACTTATTTTTTCATGAACATGCTTCAGTTAGTAATCTTTCCTTAAAAAATCTGAGGTATATTTGAGTATAACAGCAACCCATGCAGTCTGTTGATTATTAACATTTCCCACATGGCCTTAAAAACTGGTTGTTTCAATCCCAGATGGGGAATGGAGAATCTTAATTCAGATTCTTCATTGCCCCCAGGCACAGAGATCCAATCTCTCTGAGGCTCACTGGAATTTTTTTTCAGCAGAGGCCATCCCATTTAGGGCTCTAACGTGATCTGGGTACGAGAGATTGTAATACCAGGGTATTGGCACTGGCCTGTCACCAACACATTAATTTGCTGAGCACCTGAAGTACCTACCAAGATGCACAGGTAATTCATTCCAGGTATCATTAAAGACAAAGGAAAAGAGGAAAAAGAAGAAGCCACAGAGAAACAGCAAGAGGCCAACAGATGAGATGTGTTTGCCCAGATGGCCACGACTTTACCATCCTGAAGGACTGAAGTTACACATGATTGTCTCGAAGCCCTGAGGAACATCCAGCGATTCTAATTGCTGCAGACGACAAACTTCTGGGTGTTCTTTTGAGCTGCCTACAGTATGCAGTATCTTTTCCTGCCAAGGGTCCAAGAAAAACTCTCAAGACTGAGCCACTGTTCTGGCAATGAGTCTAGAAATCTACATAGAAATATTTTTTCTTTTAGGAGATATAGCCTGACATATTTGGAATTCTCTTAATATGCATATTAAATCATGACCTATTAAATACAATTTTTCACAGTTTCCTTAAGAGCCAGTTATTTAATATTACATGAACAAATTGAAGAAAATATTTGTGATGTATTTTTAAAAACAGACATGCATATTTCATAGTAAAGTTTTACCAGTGTTGTGTTCTTCATGTCTCTAAAATGCTCAAACATTCCAGTTTCTTATTCTTTGCCAAAAATAAGCAAACTTTGAATCACTAACTGAAAATTTACTTTTAGTTTGGCCCTTTTAAAATAGATGAATTATCATTACCAATAACTAAGTAAAATGTATGAGTCCAAGTTATATACTCGTATACAATCTCCATAGCATTAGGACAATAATAATATCTACTTTGTACTAAATACTGTATTAAAGACATTGTATGGGTCACTTCACATTTCATTTCATCTTTTCCAAAATTTATGAAGCAGACACTACTACAAAGGAGCTTTCGGTTGAATTAATGCTTAACATGTAATTTGCAATTTAAAATCTTAAGAAAATTCTATCATGACAGTTCTTTTTAAAGAAATATGGAAACACAATAAAGTTTTAATATCATAACTTTTACTAGGGCCAAATACGAAATTTCACCTATGTGGAAGATCCCAGACCAAAGTGGAGAAGACTGATGTTTCGACATGGTGTGAACAATGAGACATATGATATCATTTCAGCTAGTCTAAAATCCAAACAAGAAGCTAATAAATTTGTATAGGCCACACCCTCATTTGCCCAGCTGATCCAAGCTGCTCATGTCCAATTTACCTACTCAAATGTTTCAGGAAACACAGACACCCTAGTATTTAAAGATCTAGATATAATTTCTATATACATGTAATTTTGTAGTTTTATTAACAGTTTCTGTAATACATTTTTTGGTAATGAAATTTGCCACCATTTCTTTTAATTTTTGTATTAGGATCAAATCAACGCTTCTTTTAAAATCAATAATGTTTAAATGACCTTTGAAGATCTGCATTTCTAGACGATATAAATTCTATGTAATAAGCTTAGCAAGACATCAAGTCAACATTCTGTGACAGTCCTCCTCTGCAAGATATTTTCTAATGCTGAGAAACACTGGTGAAATTTGTTTTACTATGATTCTAAAGCCAGTGATGAAAAAGTATCCTCTAAATCTAAATGTTTCTAAAAAGTTATTGAAACTATAGGGTTCACTAAATTACACTCTATTAAAACTTAACTTTTTTTTTCTCAAAATCAGTTAAAATAAAGGTCTAAAATGCCAATTATTCTAACAGAAAGGATATATATCTATAAAAATTTCTCTTTCTTTAAAATAGAACAAGTGTTTATATTCTTATTTGATTGTTTTTATTTTATTTTAATGTATGTGGGATTGAAATGAGGACCTCACCATGGTGGAGATGCAGTGTAACCTATTTTATATGTAAAATATTAAATCACTGTTGATGCTGGATGCTCATGTGAAAATATTTTACTATCCTGGAATATCAGTACACATCGATGACTAGTAAATGGATGCCTGATGTTCATAGAAGAATCAGTGAAAACTTGGTGGGAGGGACATTTAAACATATGGTTTGTTAAAAACTTAATAAATGATGTTAAGACAATACATTATGATAATAATCTTTATTATCAGTTACAAATTAGTCTTTAGCATCCAGTCAGAGTAAATGTCTTCACATAAACAAAAAATAGTTGAATGTGTCTCCCTCATTATATATATTTATTTTGTATTTCAAATTGTTTTATATTAGTGAATATTTAAGTTAAATATTTAGCTTATTCTAAACTATTTATCTTTAAATTGTTTTATGTCATTCTTTATTCTGATGTATACTTGTAGAATACTTTTGTAAAAGAAATTTATTATTGTAACATCAAAAGGAGTTAAATATTTAAGATTTAATTTACATACTACATACTACAAATAACTAGTTATCAATAATTTTCACATTCTGTAATAAATGTAGAAAATACTTCCCTGTAATACTTTCCTGATGTAAGTACCACAAAGACTCTAAATAAAAGTTACAAATAATTAAAGTGACATTATACTTCTATGAGAAAAATAAACGGAATTGTGTGACTTTGAGGTACAGAGACTTCACAGGGAACGTATTTTCAGAAAGCAGTAACTCTGTATAAGTGACATGAAATATTTGAAGCAGTAAGCAAATGAGTTAAAGTATAATTTGCAATGATATTTAGTGAGTAGCTAACATCATATCAAAACTCCAGACACCTGAACACCACACTATACTGAAAACTGCAATATGCAAATTAAATGTTAAATCTATTTTTACTAGGCTCATCTATTTGGAAATCAAATATTTTAAGTAAAATTCTATTCCATTTCAAAACCAATTTCTAAAGGAAGAAAATAATGTCAAAGTACCTCCTAGAATAATTGCTGCAATATCATAACAATTTATAACTCAGATACTTTAAGGAATGTTTGGTGTTCAAAAACTAGCAAAGGATATACGTTTAAAAAGTTTAGGGAGCCAGTTAAACTACTAAGCAATTAAATGACACTGTCACAACACTTTTCCATATGTATCTTAGAGATCCAACAAATTTTAGTTTCAACAAATTATCAAATAGTGTGGATAAGATGTTGTGAATAAAAAAAAAAAAGATGTTGTGAATAAACCAGTACGTAAAACATCCTTAGTTAAGCTTTCTATGCTTTTAAACATAAGTTAAATTTCTCCCTTAAAAATATCCAATGAAACTTCAGATTTGAGCCATTTGAAAACGACAGATGTAGTCATATATGTAACCAACCAAGCAAACAACAGAAGTACTAAATGATAAAAGAAAGCTGCAATAAAGGAAATAAAATTAATCCTCTTGCTACAAATAGAATATGGATACACATGCAACTTTAAAAAATACCAACAAAGCAAAGCTCCAGAGATGTGGCCACCTGTCTGGACTGCTGCCCTAAGTTAGAGATCATGCTAATGCCAGAGCCTTAGACAGCGTTTAGTTGAAATTAAAAAAAAAAAAAAAAACAATCTCCTGTCATCTCTTTTGAGCACATAAAAACTATCACCTTCAAGCAAAGATAGAGACATGAAGTGGTCTGTACCTGCCACATCTGAACACTGTCATCACAGCTCAAGACTTACCTCATAAGACCAGACACACTGAGTCCCACCAAAGCGGCGAACACATCTTCCCACCTCCACGTCCTCGTGAGTTGTGTACATTTCTCTGAGGCATTCACCAATATGAGGCACCATTCTTCTGAGTACTTCTCGACTGAAGATCATGCCAGGTCCCCCCATACAGAAGTTCTCCCCAGGCTCCAGTCCTAGCTTCCCAAGTTCTTCGATATTGCCCAGGCCCGTCTGTCCCAGGTACAGAGGCTTGCTGCTATTCAAGGATCTAAGAAACTCTTCTAACTTATCACCTACAAAGAGAAAGGCAATCATCACTACTGGTGTTTCACGATTATTTAAAACATACAGCGTAGGAGATGTAACTTCAGAGTGTCATTAAACTCAACATTCGTTTTATACAGCTGGAAGGAAGAGAAACTTCTCAGAATATTCTATCACAGTAAAAGCATTAATTTACAGTTGTTAATTAAATCTGTAAAATTTTATCCACTCTTGGTCAAAGTCACCATAAACTAGCAAATCTAACAATCATGTTTTTCAGTAAAAAGATGAACTAATGGTAAGATGAAAAAGACAGGTTTCTACATTTGCAGTAAAAAATTGCCGAAAGTATAAAATAGTATCAAGTATTGATATTTGGTATGATTTTGGCAGATGTTGATAGCCAGTAAATAATTTTTTCCTCATAATTGAGTCACTTCAATGTTTTGCCATCAACTAAAATTAAATCACATGTGACCCACACACTTTGGGGAAATGCCCAAATGAAATTTATCTTGAAATTTAACTTGGGGAGTTGTCATTTCAGAAAAAAATAAAGATTTGTTAGAAATGCAATAGTGTGACTGGTGCCACTTACAGCTAGTAAATTCATCAGGAAAATACTCTTAAAATAAAATTTTGTAGCTAAAACATCTCAAAAGCATTTGCGTTTTACTACTTATTCTGATATATCATTCTGATACATATATATCAAATGCTTACCATATATATATATATATATATATATATATATATATATATATATCAATCAATGATAGACCAGAATAAGTTGGGTCACCTTCACATCTCAGTCAGCGTCCTGCCTGTCATTTCTGATGAGCAAGGCATCTGTACTATCTGGACCCCAAGGCTGAACCTGGAGCTCAGTGTTCTTAATGAAGAAGACATCTCATTCTTAATAGAAACAGGAAGAACGTGGCATTTCAAAGTTCTGAAGGATAATCTTCCAAAGCACGAAAGCAAAGGACCTAAGCAGGGGATGCTAAGGCCTCCTAGAAATCTTCAGCAAAGTGCAGCACTTCTTCCAGGAAACCTTTCTGATTTTAGTGAGAGACAAGACCAGCAGTTTACTCCCAGGAGTGTAACTCCCACAAGCATAAAAGTAAAAGTCAAATTAACTCAAGGAACATGGCACTTTTGGAGGAAGCATTTTTCTCTGAATTGATACCAGTAATACGTTTCAGAAATGCGATTATAAGACACCATTCTTTATTTTTGTATCCAGTTATCAATATTTCCTATCCCAACAAGAACTACAATGATTTTCCTCTTCCCAACACCAATAGAGAAACTATCGATTTATTAACGTTCTATTAGCAACTTTTTCCAGGACAGGCCCACAGAGTTGTCTGTTTCTTCTCGCACCACAAAGATACTACTTGGATCAGGAGAAAGCACCAAGGTACATACAAAGAGGCATAAAATAAGGAACAACTGCCCCCCCCACACACAACTATGGCAACGTGGAAAGCACAGAGAAACCTCTGCTCAGTGCAAGGCTGTTAGTTCCTTGCACCACCCCACCACCACCACCACCTCCGCAACTGTCTGGACTAAAAAGATGTACTCTTTTTTTTAGGAGCTTCTATCCCCTGAGTTTAGAAATTCTCTTGCCAGCTTGCCCATCCTCTGAGTGAAAGGCCGCGCCTCCTTTAAAACTGGCAAAGTTTTCTCAAGCTGGGGCTGCGTGTGGCTCTGGCAAGGAATCTCCCCCTCTGCTGTCCCCGCTAGGGCCACCTAGACACACCGGAAAGGATCTGTTCCAGGGTGTGCACCAACAGTTTGGAGCTCCCAACACCTAGGTAACTCGAAGGGGCGCTTCCCACCTAACAGTGCACGCATTCCCTCCGGGTTTTAGTGCGAGCTGGCGAGGCTGGAGGACGGCTCGCTGCTGCACCGTGGTGGCTGCGAGAAGCAGCGCGCTAGAGCAGCTGGGGATGCTCATGGATTCCGTGTGCGACAAGTTAGGCAAAAGGAAAGGCTAGGGACAGGGAATGGTCTGTGACACAGAAAACGACCCTTCAGTCTCAACAGCACACAAACGGTGGCGGATCAGCTGAAACAAAAGACCGGAGGACTAAAGCCAGAACACTGTGTCTCCAGACTGGCTCGCTTTTCATCTCTGAGGACACGCCCCTCTGAACCCATTTAAGAAACTATCACTACCGGGGCTTTCAGAGGAGGGCAAAATGGGAATGGCTTTTGGTATAACTCTAAGACTCCTTTCCTCATCTACCTCACAGGGCAAAGAGCGGGGACACGCGGTGGACAGAAAGGAGAGTGGAGAGTGAGCAGGGCGAATAAAGCTGGGCAGGTATGAGGAGGGTTCAGATGGCAGAAAAGGTGCAGGATGCAGAGCAATGGTGGGCGGGTGCGAGGGGTGGGGTCGGCAGACCGCGGAGCACGTGCGGGCAGAGATGCCGCTGGGGAGCTGGGCAGGGGCTGGGCAGGGGCTGAGGCTGGTAGCGGAAAAAGGAACGGGGAGGTGGGCAGGTAGACAGCAGGCCGTGGGAGGTCACCTTTGATGTAGACATCGTCGTCGGCGCGCATGAACCACTCGTACTTGTCCAGGTAATGGTCGTGCATATACTTGATCATCATGAAGGACTTTTTCTGGGGAGGGTAGGAGTCATCCACCCCCGGCAGCGCGATGACAGGTAGGGGTGGCGGAGGCTGGTCGAGCCCGGAGTTGGGGGGCTGCTGGCTGGAAAAGAACTCCACGCGGCCAGGGATGAAGCGCGCCCAGGTCCGCTGCGCCGCCAGCGCGCGGCTGCCCAGGTACTTCTGCGCGGTCATCACCCCCACGTACAGGAAGTCCCGGGGTCTGGTGCTCGCGTCGGTGGCGCCCCCGTCCCCGCTGCCGTTGTGGCTACTCCCGGGACGGCCACCCCTCTGCTGGCCAACCGCGCCCCCGTCCTCCTCCTCAGGGTCGCCTTCTGCTGCTGGAGCGCCCAAAAGCCCCGTTGCACCTTCGGGTTCCAGTCCTCGCCGCCGCTGCGGCAGCGGAGGTGGCTGCTGCCAGGGACTGTTCCAAAAACTGCTAACTCCTGGGGCCGCTTTGGGCAGCTGCTGCCCCTGGAGCTCCTGGCGCGCGGGGGACGGAGACCGCTCCTGCCGCGGCCGGGACTGGGGCTGGGGGAGCGGCTGCTGCGCGCCGGGGCCAGCGGCGGAGCGGCCGTAGTAGGAGCACAGGCTGGAGCCGCGTCTCTTCCTCTCGCTCAGCTCGGCCACCCGGGGGGCGATGAGCCAGGACGCGGCGGTGAAGCCCAGTACCAGCCCCAGCGCCACGCTCATCCACGGGCGGCGAGAGCGCACGGCCATCGCAGCTGCGCGGGGCGCGGACCTCGCTGAGCGGCCTCGGAGCTGCCGCGGGTCCCGAGCTCGCCCCACTGCCCAGGTCCCCTCCTCCGCCCCGCGCCCCCAGCCCAGACAGCAGCCCAGCCGCTCGGGCGCCTCCGCCGGCTCAGGGTGGCAGCGCTCGCCGCACCTCGCCCGCCGGGTGCAGCTGCCGGCCGAGCTCTTCGCGGCGCTCCGGGCCGGCAGAGAAACTTCTCCCGGCAGCGGCGGTGGAAGCGGCGGCGGCGGCGATCGGAGCTGCAGCACTGGGAGGAGGAGCAGCGGCGGCGGCGGCGGTGGCAGCGCGTCCGCGCCTAGGCTGCCACCCTGTCACTGGCGCGCCTGGTCCCTCCCTCCGCCACTCCCGCCCTCGCTCCCGCCCCCCGCGCCCCGCCCCGGGCTCCGGAGCGGCCCGAGGGAGGAGCCACGAGCGCCGCGGCCACGAGCAGGGGGAACGCGGGCCTCGGGGTACCCCGTGCGCACCCGATCCGGAGCCGGCCTCTCTCCGGAAGGAAACGCTGCGGGCCGGCCGCCTCCGGCTTCCAGGGCCGCCCCCCAACCCCGTCCCTCCTCCCCGTTCTGATTCCGTCCCAGTTCCCGCCCCGTCCCGTCCAGTCCCTGTGCACGTCCCGTCCGGTCCGGTCCCCGCCCCTGCGCGCCGTGGCCCCGCCGCCGTCCCCACCCGCGGAGATGGAGCCGAGCTCCCTGCAAGCGCGATCGCGCTTCTGTACTCTCCTTCCACAGCCGCGGCCAGTCCAGTGCCGTCAGGACATTGACCCGTTCCCGTTCTGTCCCTGCCCGGGTCATCCCCTGGGCCACTTTCGCGGTTTTCGTCCCTTTGATGTTAAACTCACAGCTGCTGCTCGTTGCTTTCTCTGTCCCCTCTCAAATCAGCAGATCAAACATCTGCCCCAGCCTCATGGCCCTATTGCTGTCAGTATCTGACATCCTCCCCAAATTCACTGGACGTTGCTCTAGCTAGGTATCTCTTAAGGAAATCCAGAGGAAGGGATCAGAAATGCCTTTCTGAAAGGCTGGGGTTGATGGGGGGGGGGGGTCGTTCCCCAAATAGCGTAAAGAGTTCCTCACCTGTAGAGTTGGAAAATGTGGGGCTACCAAGGGGCTGTCTCAGCTCCCCTCCTGGTGGTCTGGGCGCAAAGGTAAGAACAACGACCTGTTTTCAGTCCTGAATAGCTTAGTGTGCCTGCAGCATGGTGGGTGACTGTGGGCAAAGACCATCACACCCCAGACTGAGGGAGTGCTTAAATAAATGGCTGTGATCTGAAAAGAAAAGGAAGATAGTCCTTATTCTTGTCTACCAAGTGTATTCTAAGACAGTAGCACCAGACATTTTACATTTCAGAAGAGGAAAGAAATTTTTCAGCAACAGAATATCAAAAAAGTTAAATTATTTTGGATAGAATAATTTTGCACTAGTTGCTTTGTGAATAAAAGACCAACCCAAGTGTGGCATTTGGAAGAAGAAAACTTTCAAAAATTTCATTTAAAGGTTGTACGTCTAAGTATAGACTGGGGTGCAAGTGGTAACCCAAGCCTTTTCCTCCTGGGCACATTTCCGTCTTCTGCTTTCTACATCAAGCTCAAAAAGATGGTATTGAATGGCATTGGACATCATAGCTGGATTCAGCAAGGTGCTGGCAGAGGCCCTGGAACAGCAGGGCTGCCCGGAGCCCTGGGAGGAGCGGTTCTTTCCACACTGGCTGCGCAGGAACATGTCTGACTAAATGCTTCATCTGCTGGACAATGAAACTCCTTTTCCATGTCTAGGCCTTGCCCAGAGACACATGGGAGTACACATTATTGGACTGTTTCTCAGAGTTGTTGGATTTTAGTTAGAATGCAAAATCAGTCAAACAAAAAGGCCTCTGTGACTTAAAAGTATGTCTTTCCCAGAACATTTCAGTCATCTAGGGCAGTGTTGCCCAAAAGAGCATCTCCTATAAAGGAAATAGTCTTTATCACTGTTCAATAAGGGAGCCACTAGCCACATGCAATTATTGAGCACCTAAAATGTGTCAAGCATGAGTGAAGAAATGGATTTTCAAATTTAATTTGTTTTTACTTAAAAAGCCCCATGTGGTTAGGTGCTGCCAGAAGATTTTTACTATACATGGTGAAGAACAAAGAGTTCACCTACAGGCCAGCATAGGCTGCCCAGCAATAGCCATCTGGGCTCCATTCTAATACATGCATTCATGCCAGTCATCTATAAAAATGTTAAATCTCACTAGGCACAGGTACTCCACTCTGGAACTGTTCAGCATATTTAAGGAGAAAGTTAATTTCTTGCTGAGGTATGTATTGCAGGTTAAACATTAGACAGGGGTGGTGGCTTTGGACATGGATATATCAACAAAATGTTTACTGCCTCACACTGTGAATCATAGCATAGCACAGGACAGCTTGCTGAAGACTACTTTATAATACAGATTATGGTGCTGATAAATAATATCAAGAGAAAGCTTAAGTACTTTGAGAGAATTTATAAGAGCATGTGGTTTAGTCTGGGCATCTGAGAAGACATGAAATAAAAGATATAGAAGTGATATTCACTACTAGCTAAGTGACCTTGGAAAAGTTCCTTAAATTCTTCGAGCTTTAGATTTCTTCTCTGTAAACACGTTTCTGCACATGTGTATTAAGATATTAAATGTAAGTGCTTAACACAGAGTCTAGTTTATTGTAGACCTAGGGAATTCTCTTTCATGATAAACACTTGATATCATCTTACTTTTATGTTTCATTCTTTGACTTATTTAACAAATATTTATTTACGTTCTACTTTCAACCGGGTACTATTTTCAAGAATACAAAAAAAAAAAAAATGCAGATCAAAATTTCTAGGGGCTTGTACTCTTACATGTGAATGTGTGTGGGATGTTTTTGTGTAAACAAAGAAATAGTATATAATCTGTCCATGGTAAGAGTTTTTAAAAACTAGAGCGCGGTAGTGGAAGTGTGCATGTGTTGAATGAGACAGTTCAAAATTGATTGGTTGGAGAACATCTTTTTGATAATTTTAGTAGAGAATAGAGAAGAGTTAGGAAACAAACCATTAGGTTATCTGAAGGAAGACTTTCCAGAAGAGGAAGCATCCTCTTCTTCTGCACAGTGCATCATAGTAAGAGACAGGAAATGGGAAGGAACTGGTGACCTGCTAACAAGTTAGGCCAGGGCTGTGCAATAGAACTATCTAGAATTACGAATGGGAATTATAAATTATAATTTACAATTTTAGTAGCAATGTTTAAAAACTAATAGATGAAAGTAATTTTTGTTCAAACTAATATATATGTATATAGTTTTGACTCAAACTAATATAAACTAATATATCCCAAATATAATTTTAACATAGATATCAATATAACATCATTGGTGAGATATTTTATGTTCTTTACATTGGCATTAACTGTTTTTTGTTTTGGGTTTTTGGTACCTGGAATTGAATTCACCACCTCGCAGTTTCCAGGCAGGTGCTGTGCTGCTGAACTATATCCCTGGCCTTGTATTATTTTTTTAAAGCCATTGTGAATTACAATACTCTTAGAGTAAATCCTAGTTCACATTACATTTCAGATATTCAATAGTGAGACCTATGGTCACCATCTTAGATAGTGGGTATTTAGAGCCTGGCAGACATTTTTAAAGACTTAGACTTTTACTTTGGGTGATAATAATGTATTGTGAAGTAGGGGAATGTGGATTTTATTTATATTTTACAATACAGAACCAATCTAGTTGCATTTTATAGGAACACTAGAAGGCCTGTGGGGGAGAAGAAACCTAAGCAGACAAGGGCAGACTTAGGGAAAGCACCTAAAACATTATTGAAATGACTCCATCCCCTTAAACTAGAAGAAAAATAAACTTCATTTTCTTCTCCCCACCCAATGTCTGCACGTCTTCCTCATTTGCAAGTAGCAGTTTTGGGAAATGTTAATTTCATACATGTTAAGATTCCTATAGTTATTTGCCATTTCCTAAGAACAGTGAAGTGATTTTTCTCATACTTTAAAGAGATACAATAGTTAGGGTAGATAATTTCCTGGAAAATTTTTATCAAGTACTATTTTTTTTCAATTAAAAATAATGAAGTAACACGTTATAGGGAAAATTTTAGGAAATGTATTTATTTGGATAACAGATATGTTGAAGGAGAAATTTATATGGAAACTCTTTATCTTGAATAAACAGGAAAACTAGTTACATGACAAAATATAATAAGACTTACATACTGTATTAAAAGAGAACATAAACGTAGGTACATATAAGATATCTGGCTAAAAATATTCAGTATAACCGTGGCTCTAATCTAGCCAGTTTCAATAAATAACCCTGTGAACTACTTTATAAAATATCTATGAAGGAATTCGGCGGCATAGTTTGAGAAAACCAGTAACCTCCTAATATTGTAATAGTTCATAACAAAAATTCCAGAGCTGGCTCTTCCTCATGTCTGATACTTGTAGTAAATTCAGGCATATGCGTATTTGACCATTGTAACATAGGACTAATTTGCTACCTCTTCAGACTTGAAGTTATTAAAATACATTAAGACGTCATCTGGGTCATGCCAGTGTCGTTCCTAGTGTTAGAATAACGTCGATGTTGACCATCCTGAGGGCAGCTAGGGCTCAGTTGGCAGAGTGTGATTTGGCACAGTACTGTACTATTTTCATTAAATGGAAAGAGTAATAACTTTAAACTCATGGGGGGGAAAAGTACAATGAGTTTAAAGTGGAGGGTATCATAATTTGATCACTTGTAAAAGTTAAAGGCAAATATTTATATAAAGATTTCAACCTATGCTACCTTTAGAGGGTATAATCAAGTTTTGGGTGGTCCTGACACTTCTGTATTTTACTGATCTGTTTTCAATGTTACCATTTTTTTTCTTCACAGATCAAGGCTGAATTGGTTTCAATTGTGTGAAGCAACTGTGGCATCTAGTGGTTAATAATCATAATGGTAATTCAGTTTATTTCTAAGGGGTGAATTATGTTATAATATTTTTATATTGCCAAAGAATATTATAGCAATAGTGACGTAAGATTATCACTTAGCTACATTTTTATTCATCAGAAATCACCATATATAATGAATAGCTGACATACTCAAATAGGAAAATGTAATTTTGCTGAGATTGTAAAGTTATTTTAGAGTCTGATATTAATTTATATTTATATATTCACCATGATAATGTAGTTAAATTTTTATACTGATTGGATATTTGACGCTACAAAATTACTAGTTCTGTTTTTATTCATGATAGGTTATCAAAACTATGGTTTCTGAGAGTCCTTAATGTCAGAAGTACATACTGAAATATTTACTGATGAATTTGTGTGATGTCTGGGATTCAAATTATGTGAATGAAGAGCAGTCATAGGTGGATACCTATGTGTGTAAACACTGACTGAATATTATTGGTTAATATTAAGATGGATGATAAATTTGGAATTTCCTATACTAAAAAGTTTAAAGAAAGGGCTTAGATCTAACTCAGTGTTAGAGCACTTGCCTGGCATATGCAAGACTCTGGATTAAACCCCCAGCAATAACATAAATAAAAAAATAAATTTTAAAAATCTTATTTGTTTAAGATTAGTAGTCATTCAACATTTATTATCTATATATTTATTTTGAGCAAGCAAAGGTCCACTTGTCCAAATGACCAATGAGAAGAATATCACCTGAAAATGAATGAAATTTATTACCATTTAGAAAAGGGAAAGAAAGACTATATCAAAATTAAAAATCACTTCTTTCATACCTTTTTGGCCCCAGTGACAACCCTTAGGCGTAAGCAAAATACTCTTTAAAGCTTTTCCAAAAAAAGAGACTCACTTTCTGATGTAAGAATTTTTTTCAAGTAGTAATAGTCTATGATTAGGTAATGAGTTGAAAAATCTTCAGTTTTCTTAATCACCAAAATGAATTTATTCTGGAAAATATTTTATCTTAATTTTCGTTTACTACTCTCTGAAAATACTAATGAACTCCAGTATTTTCCATCTTAGAAAACTTAATATATACATGTCCCTTCTTTTTTTAAATTTCATTTCATCCTCTGTCAATTGCTTTCCTCTTACGTTCTGTGAATCAGTACCATTCAATACTCACATATATAATTTAAATTTTTCTACTGGGCTCAGTTTAAAAAGTAAAAACAAACAAAAATAACCATAGTAACAGTTTATTTTTACTCAATATATGTAGTTTTCACTATGAAGCCTAAAAGCACACTTTTTAAATGATAAACAACTAGATTTCAAAAGGTTTACAGAATTCATTCTGCTGCTTTCTAAGGTAATGTAAGACTACATTGCATACTAATATACAAAGTGTGATATATTTTTAGGTATGTGTTTGTATAATTAGAGTGTGGCTATTATATTATTTTCATAGCTACACTGTCATTATAAAATAAACATAAGGGAGAGATTACAGGCCTTTCTTTTTCCATAATCACTATTCTTTTCTAAACGTCAGAATATTTTCTTAGGAAGTAAGAGAGTTTCAATGTCACTGCACCCAATCCATTGCGAGGGGACATGACTTAGGCTTAACAGTTTTAGTAGTCTATCTAAGATTTTTGTGGTGCACATGGCAGGCACAATATGTAATTCATTTTACAGGTGTCGCATATGGATGGAGTTTACCTAAGTCTATAGCAAACTAATAAGTCCTTTAACAGTCTTGTGAGTTTTAAAGCTTTCAACAGATTGTTATCACAGGAATGGAGTAACTTTTACCTGCACTCTGTGAAATTTTTTGTTGATTTTGAAAACTTTACTTATTTTCATAAGATATTCTATTTGCTCACGTTAATGTAAAGTTTGTTCTTTTATAATAATATATTTAATTTTTCTAATTTTTAATTTATCATAAATACTTTCAATTCGCCTTAATTTTTAAGAATGGACAGAGGGTTCAAGAATAAAATGTTTGAGAACATCGGTCTTAGCAAAGGCCTTACTTAACCTTTTTCTTCTCCTGGAAGTACTATAAAAATTCTCTAGGTGAATAGTTGGGTTAGAATGCCTTGCTTCAGATGGAAAATTACCGTCATAGTTTAAGGTGATGTGAAAGTAACTGTCCTTGCACTGTTTAAGCTTTGAGGTGTTTTAAAATACATTATTGTCCCATGGCTTTAAAGTCACATTTTTTGCCTTCTGCAAATATAGTAGTTTGACTTACTTGTTTTATTTTTGCATATTAAGTATGTTTGTTAAAAACAAATTGTAGCAATGACTCTTCTCTATTCCAGATTTTTTGAATCTAATTCAAATCAGATTTCAAAAAATAGTATCTCTAACAAACTTGAGGGTAAACTTTTCATTTCTACAAAAGATTATGCATCGTTTTTAGGTTACAATAATTTTGTGTAATTGTGTCAAAGAAAGAATTCTCAAGTCAATTTTACAGCTTTCAAGTCATAAAGTTTAGTAAGGAAAGAAGATAACATTGCAATATCAATAAAACTGAAGACTCAATTATTTGTCTTTTGATGCCAATTAGAGCTCTAGGAATACAGGGAATGCTAAATCCAAATAAAACTGTGTGAACTAATTGAAAAAGTAAATTGGTGCTCATAAATGCAATTCCAGAGGAATTTACAAATGGTCATCATTTGGAAATTGTTACAAAAATATTGCACAGAATTCAAAAAATAGAGCAGGTCAGGAAGTGAATAACAAGTGAGTAACAGTAGTTCCTATGGCCTTATCTCCATATCTGTATCGAGTAAAATAAAGTCAAGAGTATAAGTTTCAAGTGAGGAATAAGAGCAAATGTTAACTTCAGAGCTAAGTTATTTCTCAGCAGTGCTTTCTGTTTTCATCTCAGAACTGGGCACAATAGGATTCGAAAGGGCACATGGCTGAGGCACACCCAGGCATAAGTGAGGAGTGAAGTATGGCATTCCTGAAGCCTCTGCTAGAGCTCTGCTCACCACACCCTTCAATCTACGCCACAGTTTTATTTTTTCCAAACTAAATTTACTGTCTACCTTTACAGAACACCAGACAGGAATAGCAGCAGTGACATCTGAATCAGACTGAAATTAAATTTATAATTTCATATTAGCAACATAGAGTCAAGACTCTGGGATATGGTACAAGCCATCGAGTCACCTCGAAACTTTTTTTGTAGGCACATAGAACACACTGGCTAGTACAGTTTACGAGTAATTACAAGGTTGGCATAGATGTCATTGTTTCTCCAAGTGAGATCCTCAGTATGTATTTCTAATACTTTATCATGGCATACCTATTAATTGTAATCTAGATTCCTACTGAATCAGAATCCCTGAGCTAGAGGCCAGGAGTCCTTATTTATAACAAGATGTGATTCTTAAGCACATTAGACTTTGTAAATCACAATTTGAATCATCCTTGATACTTTAAAGTCTTAACATATTTAATTAAAAAAATAAAAATCATAGCCATTATACCCTTCTAATGAGATTCACCAGTCTCTCAAAACAAATATATGCCTGAAGAAAGTCTAGATTCTCCATCCCCAAACAGGAGAAGATGTTCACCTTTTTTTTTTTTCCATATTGAATATTGTCTTAGTCACTTTCTTGTCATGAATATAACAATACCTGGCGCTCATAACTTAAAAGAAGAGAGTGTATTTGGGCTCACATTTTACTAGATTCAGCTCTCTCATGGTCATCTGGCTCCAGGAAAAAACAGTATAGTAGAAGAGCCTAGAGAAGGAAAGGTGTGCACTTCATGACAGTCAGGAAAAAGATAAAAAAGGAAGCATGGGGGAGGAGATAAATCCTTCCAGGTCACAATAATCCACCACTTCTGACTAGGCTGTACCTTCAAACATCCAGCAGCTATAATCTCATAATCCAGTCACCTCCCAAAGCCCTGTCTGTGAGTGCTTGAGGCATTGGGGAAACTCTAGATATAAGCCATAACATTCCACCCCTGCCCCTTGAAAACTTCATGCAAATTTCTCTAGGCAAAATGCATTTAATTCATCTCTAAGAGTTGTCAAAGTCCTAACAGTTTCAGCTCTGCTGAAAAATCCAAATCTAAAATCTGTCCCAAGATGTAAGGCAAACTCTTAGCTGTGAGCCTCTGCAAAAATCAAAAAGAAAGGTAAACATTTTGAACTTTCACATTTCAAAAGGAAGAGATGGAGGTAGAAAAGGAATGGGGCCAAAGCAAGATCAAAACCCAGCACGGCAAACATGAACTCCTATAGGTGTGTGTCCAGCATATAGGGTAAGCTGTGGCAAGGTATGAACCCCAACCAGCTTGGGCAGTACTGCCACTATGGCACCATCAGTTGTGTTCTCCTTGGCTTCTCATTTGGGCTGGCTTTGGTTACTGCTTGTGACTTTCCTTAAATGTTTCACACACCTCTCTTATCCAGTTTTGAGGGCTCTCTGTTGCACTTTTTTGCTTGACTTTCACAATTTCTCATTCTGCCCTCTCAGACGCTTACTATCTGGACTACCATGGCAGCTTCTGAAATCTGGGTGGAAATCTCTGTGGCCTCACAGCACTTACATTCATCATGCCTGTGAAACTACCACCTCATAGATGGTACTAAGGTCTGCCATCCACTTGAGAAGTAACAAGACCATTTTACATCATTGCTGAAGAGGCCTCTGAATGCTTAGATGGCTGAGCACATCAAATAAATTCCAGAGAATCAATTCCCTAGGTGGCCTTTCTCAGGAGATTTGCCCTTCTCAAAGCAAAGTGCTTTACTTTTCTAGGCCAAATGGTAGGCTCTTTCTGTTTCCTCAGATGCCCTCTAAAAACCTTTCTATTCTGACTGAGGGTATCTGACTTTTTAATTCTAATCCTATCTGCAATCAACTATCTTCTGTTCCAACTTTAGTAGCCACAATTTTATAGGAGCTTCTTTGCTGGTGAAACTCAAAGCATTTAAAATCAATCAGCTGTGCTGTTTGGTGTTGATTCTCAATGTAAACCCCA